GTGTGACCTGTGGTCCTGAGGGGTGACCCCAAGGAGGACACAGTGCTGGTAGAGGTGTGGGACAAGAGCAGGAAAAGCCTTTAACACCCCCAGCCAGGTGTGGGGGACAGGACGGGGGTCGGGGCATGGGGAGGGAGCAGAGGGAGCCCGAAGGAGGAGGGCACTGGGATGGAGCCGCTGGGTTTCACTTCCCTGTCCTGGCACTGGGCTCTGTTCGCTGCCACCGGCGGTACCAAAACCACGGTGGCTTTCTCTAAACCTCCCCGTTCTGCTGAGGACAGCAGGGGCTGAGGAACACCGGGCTGTGCCTCCACTCACCCCCCTGTGTCCCCCGGGCACAGCACAAAGCTGGGCAAATCCTTCCCGGGCCCCCTTTGGGAACTCCTCCTTACCTGTGCGCTGTCCCTGGCGGCGGGGGGGTCCCAAGGGGCTCCAGCTCCACATCCCGGCCCCTCAGCAGCTCCAGTTTCACATCCCGGCCCCTCAGCAGCTCCAGCTGCACATCCCGGCCCCTCAGCAGCTCCAGCTGCACATCCCGGCCCCTCAGCAGCTCCAGTTTCACATCCCGGCCCCTCAGCAGCTCCAGCTGCACATCCCGGCCCCTCAGCAGCTCCAGCTGCCCATCCTGGTCCCTCAGCAGCTCCAGCTGCACATCCCGGTCCCTCAGCAGCTCCCGCTGCACATCCCGGTCCCTCAGCAGCTCCAGTTTCACATCCCGGTCCCTCAGCAGCTCCAGCTGCCCATCCCGGTCCCTCAGCAGCTCCAGTTTCACATCCCGGCCCCTCGGCAGCTCCAGTTTCACATCCCAGTCCCTCAGCAGCTCCCGCTGCCCATCCCGGCCCATCCCGGCGCTGCCCATGGTGCGCTCAGGCTCTCCTTGCGCAAGGCGCTGCGCCCAGGGCAGGATGTGCTTTCAAAACCTGCTCCGTGCTCGGCTGAAGGAAGCCGGGGTTTGGCCTCGCTCCCCCGCAGCCCCCGGAGCTCTCTGAGCCCCCTGGCAAAGCTCCAGCCCCGGCTGAGGTCACTGTGTCACCGCCGGTGCCACCTGTGGATTTGTGTCCCCGAGCCCCTCGTGGAGCTCCAGGCTGCTCCTCCTTCCTGGATGGCTCTAGGGATGCATTTAAGGGTGGCAGCTGCTCTGAGGAGGGGATTGCCCCCACAAACCCCCCTCACATCACAGAATTAATTCCCCTTCCTCTGGGCTGTTGCTCCGGGTGGGTTGGCAAGGAGAAATATTTTCATTTTCTTCCATGAAATGAGGTTATAGGTTTAATTCCTGTAAGAGTTGGGCTTGAAGATCCCTGTGGTTCTCTTCCAGTTTAGAATATTCTTTGGTCTGGGATCTGTCTTTTTGTTGGGATTTCCTCCAGCCATTGCATGAGAGGAGCCCAGCCACTGGAAAATACCTTTTTGTTTTTGTCTCCCAGAGCTTTACAGATGCTCAAAGAGCACCAAGTGACCCAGCTCAGTTGCTGGAAAAAATTCTCCCATTGGTGTCTGTCCCCTCTAGGATGAAGTCACTAAAAAGTGACTCTAAACACTCAAAACACTCTAAACCCCAAATATTTCAATATTTCCTCCCTTCCATTCACTCCTCGAGTCACAGTGGTGCCACCGTGGGTGCTGGGGGAAGGCAGCAGCAGGACAGCTGCAGGGATTTCTCCTGGGAGCAGCGAGGTTGGGATGAGCAGGCTTTGCGAGACGTGAGTTTCCATGGGCAAAGTGGAAAATGTCACTGCTTGAGGCCAACCAGGACAGCAGGACCCTGGATCCAGGCACCCCTGCCGGGTTTTGGGGGCTGGGATAGGCTCGGTGGGTGCTGTGACCCTGCAGCCCCCCCTGTGAGGAGCCCACAGTTCCCTTCCTGTGTTTATGTTATGTAAAACATAAAGTGTGTTTATTTCCGTATTTCCCAGGCCAGCCGGGGGTTGTGGCTGTTGATCTGTGGCTGGGGCCGTTTCTGGGCGCTGGGGCCGTGTGTGAGAGCTGATAAAAAACCGTGTGGGGCTGAGTCATGCTTGGATCCAGCGCAGGGAGGAGGTGCAGGGCTCTGGGAGGGCACAACCTGCACCATCCACCCCACACTGCACCAGCAACCCAAACTGGTTTGGGTAGGAGGGACCTTAAGTCCCATCCAGTGCCACCCCTGCCATGGCAGGGACACCTTCCACCATCCCAGGCTGCTCCAAGCCCCCTCCAGCCTGGCCTTGGGCACTGCCAGGGATCCAGGGGCAGCCCCAGCTGCTCTGGGCACCCTGTGCCAGGGCCTGCCCACCCTCACAGGGAAGAAATTTGTTAAGAGCATCACTTTTTTTTTTTTTCCATAATGAACAAAACGACCTTTAAGAAGTACCAGAAAATGCTAGGAATAAAATTACAGAATTCCTGCCATTTCTGTGGCCCTGCCAAGCTGAAGAGAAGTGGCCAGGGAAAGAGGGGCAGCCAGGAGCTGCCTTTTATCTGTGAGATTCCTCAGTTGTCTTATTACAGCCAGGGAGAATGCCAAGTTTAAAAGCCACCCAAGCCTTTAACAAGGACAATCATTTCCTGTTGCCAACCTGTGCAGGACTGTGCAAACTGCTGATTTAATTCTCCAAACCATGGAGCATCCCTGAATCCTCTGGTGGGCTCTGCTGCCTGTTCCAGGTGGATAAATCTGCTCCAGGACATGGCCCTGATGGCCTTGGTGGCACTGATGGCATTTGCAGACTCTGGTCCAGGAGCTGCTGAGCCCTTTTCCCCCTGGATTTGGGGGGGCTGATGCAGGGAAGCTTTTCTTAGCTCCAGCTTTTTTGGTTTGTAAGGAAATTGGTTTCTTTTCCCAGTGGGAGATAGGATCTCTAAATGCAGCTGCTGGAAAATTGCAGTTTTCTAATTGTCTTTATTTTTTGCTGATTTTTTTTTTCCCATGGCACTGTTCAGCAGCCCGTGGGTGCTGTGGGGATGCTCCATGCCCAGCTCAGGGCAGGCTGGGGCGATCCTGGGGGCACCGAACCCACCTGGGTGCTCCCGCAGCATCTCCATCCTGCAGCTCACCCCAAAAGGAGCGGGGGGCTCAGTCCTGGCTCCTGTGCCCCACAGCCCCGGGCACAGGCAGGAGCTGTAACCTCGACCCTTCACCTCCCTGAGCCATGAAATGCATCTTGAAGCAGGAAATGAAGAAACCTCGATTTCCTCTTTCCTCCCAGCAGCTCTCGCCCAGCCCGTGGGGGCTGCAGCCTCCCGGTTATTTGGCAACCAGGGCCACCCTCCCCCGTGGGGTGGGAGCTGCGAGCGCCCCCGGACCCCAGGGGATGTGTGGGGCTGGAATTTCGGGCTGGAGCGGCCCAGGGCTCGTTTCTCCAGCAGATGGAGGCATTGCTTCGCTCTCAGCGCCGGGGCCAGCCCAGCCCGTGCGGGAGAGCCGGGACTGGGGAGGGGACACGGGGGGACAAGGGGACGGGACACGGGGGGACAAGGGGACGCTGCGCTGGCTGAGCCCGTGGTGGGGACAGCGCTGCCAAGGGCAGGCATGGCCTTGGGAGGGCCGGGCTGTGCCCCGGGGCTGCGGGATGAGATCGGCACTGGGGGGGCCACTCAGCACCTCCCGCTCCCCACTGGCTCCTGCCCCACTGCAGCGACCCGCCCCGTGCCTCAGTTTCCCCAGGCACAGGCTCCTAGTGCCAAATTTTCCAACCCCATCCAAGGATTTGGCTCCGGGTGTGTGTGCCTGTGCATGTCTGTGCACTCTCGTGTGGATGTGACTCCTTTTAAGGTCCCCAAACCCCAATTTTCCCGCAGGCAGGACTTGAGGTGCTGCCTTTGCACCCTCCACTTTCGGCACATCCTTATAAACACTGCATTAATAATTAATAATCGATTAATAGCAGCAGCAGTTTGTTAGCACACGTGCATTAATCATTTATTAGTTATTAATATGGACTTTGGTACCCTCTGGGAGGTGGTTTCACATTGTTTATGTGTGGTTTGTGGGACTGATGGTGGTGAGAGGCTCAGGGGCTGCAAATCCCAGCAGAGCCCTGGGAAGGGGGAGAGGTCTGCTGGAATTCCAGGGACTTCCCAGGTTGCAGCAGGTCTGCAGAGCTCAAGGGTGTGAATTCTGGTGCTCCTGCCCTTTCCAGGTCCTGCTTTGCCCACTGATTTTGCATTTTCTTATAGAGGAACATGAGGAAGAAAAGGGGGAGAAAAACCCAAATGAGCCACAAAAGTCCCTTTTTCGTTGGTTTTTTTTTTCCCTTTTTTGTTTTGCTCACAAATACATCTCACATGCTCATTACATAGAAAACTGTGCCAGGTCTGCACTGCCCTTTGCTCCCACTGTGAGGGTCCACGCCCGACCCCCTCCCACCCCCCTCCCACGGTTAAAAAAACCCCAGACACCAAACAGGACCCTGGTAGGACACGGCATGCACGGCTCAGGGGCGAGGGGCACCGGGCATGCGGGGCCACGGGGACAGCCGGACCCACGGCAGGGAAGGAAGGATGGATGGATGATGGATGATGGATGGATGGATGGATGGATGGATGGATGGATGGATGGATGGATGGATGGATGGATGGATGGATGATGGATGGATGATGGATGGCTGGGGGGCACCCTGTGAGAGCAGAACAGGGTTGGGGGGTTTTTCTGAGCAGCCACTTGTGCCCCACAAAGCTCCCAACCCCTTGGATGCTCTGGTGCCACTCTGGGATGCCCGTCAGGAGATGGGCACCTGTCCCCTCCAGCTCCCAGCCTGACCACCACTGGCTGGAGAAGGGACATCCAGGTGGGAAACATCCCTGCAGGAATGGGGACAGAGGTGGGACCTGCAGCAACCCCCAGGGTGCACACCGGAGGAGAAAGAGGAGGAGGAAGCAATGAACTCCCTGGATCCTCCAGGTCACATCCAGGCTCCTCCTTTCCAGCTTCATTCCTTCTCCCACACACAAAAATCCACACTCTGAGGCCGAGCCAGGGCAAAGCCTGGGAAGGGCTGGGATGGGAAGGCAGGAACCACCCCTGTGGCAGCAGGGAGCAGCCCCAGGGACATTGACCCGTGGTCCTCAGTGCTGGAGGATGCAGGATCTGGGATGGAGGTGTCAGCCAGGTCGTTCTCCTGGACTGCTCGTTCCCAGCTTTTCTCTTCTCTTCTTTCCTGGGCTGTAGAGCCTCCCTGCATAGGATGAGCCAGGTCCTGCTCTCCTGCAGATTTCGACTTTGCAACTCAAAGAAAACGAACCCAAAAGTGCCTTTTGAACCCGCAGGAATCCCTACCCCACTCGGGCGGATGCAGAGGCGGGGTGGGGGGGCAGCCTTGCATCGCCCTAGGGTTTCTCTTCCTGATTTTAACAATCTTTGCCTTATTTTGCCTTTTCCCCCCCTTTTTTTTCTTGCTGACACCTCCTCAGAGCCTGGCCCCGGAGGGTTTTTATTGCTTGTGCAGAAGCGTCCCCGGGCACCCACATTGGCAGATGCTGGATCTTAAATCCACGGATGAGAAGCTCTCAAGGCACATCCGTGCCCGGGGTGGGAGGGGTCTGTCTTTTCCAAGGGGCTGGGGACCCCCCCAACTCGGCACAACTTCCCCAGTCCCACATTGCCCCGGAAGACATTTCTCTTGGAAAGATAATTAAAAAAAAAAAAAAAAGAAAAAATTGGACTAACCAACACCAAGAAAAGAACCACAAACAACTACCAGGAAAGTTTTCTGAAGAGTCCCTTACAAAAAAAGGGAAAGGGTGGGGGGGAAACAGGAAGCATTTTTCTCCCAGGCCCAAACACTGCTGATCTTTTGGCTCAAGAAATGCATAGTTGGTAGCAAAACCTTGCTACATCAGGAGCCCCTGGGACGGCCCCTGAGCCCTGAGGGCTCTCCACAGGGCTGGGACATCGGGGTTATCCCTCCCCGACCCTGAGGTCCCCACGGTTCTGACCCTGCTGGCCTGTGGCACCTCTGTCTCCAGCCATGTCCCAGCACAGCAAGGTCACTCTGCCAGCTCTGGGACACGGCCGGTGCTCCCACAGCCCTCCTGGCCCCGTCCCAGGGCCGGGCAGCAGACAACGGTTCTCCTCTGGGAGAGGCTCAGATCATCTTCATGTTGAACTTCCTGGCCCCTCCTTGGCCGGTGGTGGTGGTGGGACCGTCCACCTTGCGGAAGGAATATTCCACAGAGAAGTTGTTCTTGTGCTGCCCCCGGCCACGGCTCCAGACGAAGAGCAGGAGGAAGCAGAAGAGCACCACACCCAGGAAGGTGATGCAGCCCATGGCCGTGGAGACCAGGATGGTCTTGAGGTCCAAGGTGAACTTCAAGAAGACCTGGGTGTCGTTGTGGAAGGTGTCGTTGAAGTCGCTGAGGTACAAAGTCCGGTTGGCGTGGTGGGCGCCATCGGCCGGGCGCCCCTTGACCGTCAGTGTGGCGAAGTAGGTGTCGTTGCCGCCGGCGTTGCTGGCGATGCAGATGTAGGTGCCACTGTCCTGCACCTGGGCAAAGCGGATCTCCAGGGTGCCCCCGGGCAGCACCGTGGCCCGCCCCGTGCTGCGGGTGGTGATCATGCGGTGCTGGGGGGACACCCAGGTGATGGAGGGGTCGGGCTCCCCGTCAGCCCGGCACAGGAAGGACACGGACTGCCCCTCCCGTGCCGTCACGTGCTGCAGCTTCCGATCCCGGATCTTGGGCTTCTGGCACGTGAAGTACTCGAAGAGCACTGAGTCCGGGAAGTCGCGCAGGGCGTTGCCCTGGATTTCGGGCGGCGAGGAGCACATGGGCTGCTGCCCGTCGAAGTTGAGCGTCTTCCGGCGCTGCAGGATCCAGAGGAGCCGGCAGTCGCAGGCCAGCGGGTTCCTGTCCACCCGCAGCGTCTCCAGCGTGTTGACCGAGTGGAAGGTGCTCTCCTCCAGCGTGGACAGGAAGTTGCTGGAGAGGTTGAGCAGCCGGATCTGTCTCAGGCCGGAGAAAGCCTGCGGCTCCACGGACACCAGGAGAGCGCCCACGATGTGGAGCTCCTGGAGCCGGATGAGGTCTTTAAAGGAGCCCTTCAGCACAGTGCTAATGGGGTTGTAGGACAGGTTGAGGTACCGCAGGTACACCAAGTTCCTCAAGGCAGCGGCGGGCACGGCTGTGATGTTGGTGTAGGTGATGGACAGCGAGGTGAGGTTCAGGCCCTGGAAGCTGGTGGGGGACACCTCCTCCAGCAGCGGCCAGTTGTCAATCTCCAGCTGCAGGAGATTGTAGAGCTTCTTGAAGTTCTGGTCCTCCAGTGCAGAGATGCTGAGGTGACGGAGCCGCAGCACCTCCAGGTTCTGGAGGTAGGACAGCGACTCAGCTGAGATGGAGGTCAGGTTGCACTTCTCAATGGTCAGCTGCTCCAGGCCCAGCAGCCCCGAGAAGGCGCGCTGGGAGATGTACACCAGGTCATTGTCACCCACCTCCAGGCTCTTCAGGTTGCGCAGGTCCTGGAACATGTAGTCCAGCAGGATGACGAGCTTGTTCTCGCTGATGTCCAGCAGGGTCAGGTTGGTCAGCTTGGTGAAGACCCCCGGAGGGATGAGCTTGAGCTGGTTCCCCCGCAGCCGCAGGGTCTGCAGGTTGAACAGGTTGCTGAAGGCGCCGGGCTCCACATTGGAGATGATGTTCTCACTGAAATCCAGCTCCTCCAGCAGCGGGTACGGCGCCAGGTCCCCGGGGTTGAGGCAGCGGATGCGGTTCTTGTTGAGCTCCAGGACCCTGGTCTCGGTGGGGATGCCCTCGGGAATGGCGGTGAGGCGCTTGCGGTGGCACAGCACCGAGCGCAGCTGCGGGGCGCACTCGCAGCGCGCGGGGCAGGCGCCCGCCCGCGGGGACAGCAGGACCACGTGCAGGAGCAGCAGCGGGAGCCACCATGTCATTGTGTGGGGCATGGTCTAGGGGCTCACTGCCGCTCTGCCATGCGCCTGCCACGGAGAGAGAGCGGAGTCAGCGGGGACAGAGCACAACCTGGCCCACATGTGCCTGTCTGGGAGCTGAGACTGCCCAGTGCTCCCCAAGCCTTGCCCCATGGGCTTGCTAAGGCCCCAGTCCCTGCAGGAAACCCTCAGGATCCCTTTCACCTACCGTGCTACCTGGGGATCCTGCCCTGCGCAAAACTGGGATAAACGAACCTCACTCTCCATCAGAACAGGGAAACTGAGGCAGGGGGAGAGGTTTGTGAGAGGAGCCGGGGTTGCAGACCCACACCTGAGGCTCTGCTCCCACTGTGCCCTCCCTGTGCCCCTGATGGTGCAGGCATGGGCAAGGGAGCACCCTGGGATAATGCGGGGCACAGACACCCCAAGGCAGGGCAGGAGCAAAGAGATGCTGGCAGAGACACCGCCAGCTCGCCACACAGGAGGGATGTCCCATTCCCCCTGGTGACACATGGGATGTCCCATTCCCCCTGGTGACAGGTGGGATGTCCCATTCCCTCTGGTGACACATGGGATGTCCCATTCCCCGTGGTGACACAGGGGATGTCCCATTCCCCGTGGTGACACATGGGATGTCCCATTCCCCCTGGTGACACAGGGGATGTCCCATTCCCTCTGGTGACAGTCAGTATGTCCCATTCCCTCTGCTCTGGGATGTGAGGGCTCATCCAGGGCACAAATTCTCCCCAGGCCCCAGTTTGGAGGGGTCCCATAGAATGGGGGACACTTGGTGCCACTCGTAGGACCTGGTCCCCGTCCCCATCCCAATCCCAGTCCCTGTCCCCATCCCAGTCCCCATCCCGCCCTCTCGGAGCCCAGATTAAGGCGGCCTCAGGCACAATCTTTGCCACGGAGGGATTAACACCGACCCGCAGCGCCGTGCCCCGGCTGCCCTCCTTTCCAGGGATTAGCACTTCAGCACCGCTTTCCCTTTTCTTTGCTTTCCCTTTCCTGCTCCCCATCCCCATCCGCACCCCAAATCTTCCAGGCTGCCTGGAACCGCAGCTCCCAGAGCCTCCACACACTCCTCAGCCGCCTTTCCTTAATGAAGCACGGTCATTAACCTAATTAAGTGCCAGAGTTGCTCAGCTGGGGAGCTGTGGGGTGTTTTTTTGGAGCCCGGCAAGAGAATATTGGGGGTACCAAGAGCAGAGCCAGCCCCTCCAGCCACCCCTGTGGAGGTGCAGGGAGCGGGGCACTGGCACCTTCACAGCACTGGGACAAACTGGGGTGCAGTCCCCGAGGGCTGGGTCCAGCCCTTCTGACCTGCAGGGAGCCCAAGCTGTGGCCCTCACACGCTCCTTTCTGTCCCTCTGGACACCTCAGGGACCCCAAACCTGTCTGTGGGAGCTCAGCAGGATGTGTGGCGAGGGAAGAGGGTGATGTGACATCTGTGGCTGCTGAAGGCCATCGAGGTGTGGCTGCAATGCTCCAGCTTGGTGCCACTGCAGGTCCTCAGTGCCCAAAAGGCCCCAAAAAGGCCCATCTTGAGGTGGCTGCTGCCTGGCTTAGGGGGTGACAGGAGAGCGATGGGGACCCCAGATCCCTCAGAGAGGTGACACTGATGGAGCAGGGACAGCAGGAGCTGGCCCAGCCCAGCATCTCCTGCTCCTCACACCCACTGTGCTGACAAAGGACACCAAAGGCTGGTGTCACCCTCCCTCCTGTCTCCATGGGCTGGTGGCATGTGGGAACCACCTCAGAACCCTGGGGGTTATTGACTCTTTGTGCTCATGTCTCAGGGAAGGACACAACCTCCATGGATAATTTCCTGTCCTGATGCCATTATCCAGGAGGAGCAATTCTCTGGGAACACACCCATTGCTCAAGTGCAATTTTGGAAGGACAGGAGATGATCTTCAAGGAGCGTTTGGACAGCGCTCTCAGGGGTGCTCAGGGTGGGATTGTTGGGGTGTCTTGTGCAGAGCCAGGGGCTGGACTCGGTGATCCTTGTGGGTCCCTTCCCCTCAGGATATCCCAGGGTTCTGTGATCATTTACAGATGTGGGATGTGGCACTGAGGGGCAAATGATGTCCTTGGCAGTGCTGGGGGAACGGTTGGACTTGGTGATCTTGGAGGGATTTCCAACCTCAACAATTCTATTCTGAGTCTATGACACCTTTTTCCTTTTTTTCTTTTTAATTTTTTTTCTTGTGTGTGTGTCTGTCTTAATTTTGCCACATTTCCATTTTCCTTCCAAGGAATCAAACCCAGAGGACAGCGTCACCATTTCACACAACCACAGGATTAACAGCTGGTGGATGCAGGGGGGGTGGGATCACCGACCCCACTGCTGCCCCTGCCCCCTTCTCCCCTCTCTCCAGCCCTGCTCAGCTTCACTGCTTGCACCAAACCTCCTGTGGGCACTGGGGGTCCCCAAATGCCACCTGGGGACTGGGGGTACCCAAATGCCACCTGGGGACTGGGGGTCCCCAAATGCCACCTGGGCACTGGAGCTGCTTGGCAGCCTCCCCTTCCAGGAGAGCCACCTTGTGAGGGCTCTGCCTGGCTGGTGGCCCTGGGAACCTGAGCTGGCTCTGGGGTGAGGTACCCTTGGCCCCCCTGGAGGCCCCACTCTGCTCTCTGCTGGGGCTGCATGGGAAGGATGCCCCAAGCATGACCTGCAAACCCACAGGACAAACCCCTCCCCGTTTATTGTGACACTTATTTGTCCAATTCAGTGTCTCCACGCTAAATAAAGGTGCCACTTCAATGGTGTCTCACGCTGGGCCGTGTTCCTGTGCCCACCATCCCTCCCTGCCAGCCCCAGGGGACCCAGCCCTTCCCCTCCCTGCCTGAGGCTCTGCCCCGTGTTCATTATGGATGAGCCCGGGGTAACCCAACTCCACTTTTGGTTACTCTTCCGGCCACCTGATCCTCTAAGCAAAGCTCCATCCCCGCTGGAGTTGTTTTCCCTGGCAGATGGAGAGCGGGAGCCGCAGCCCTGGGCTCACCTTCCCTCCCCACAGCCAGAGCATCAGCCAGCCCTGCTGCACCCATGGGTGCTCCACTGACCCCTCAGCAAACCCCACAGCGGGGTTAAGGGCTCCTGCACGGCAAATCCGAGTGAGGAGCAGGGCTGGCTCTGCCCCAGTGGTCTCTGCAGGACATCCCACAGACCCTGTGTGTCCTGCAGGGCCACCGGGGGCCCGTGGTCCCTCTGTCCCAGGCAGGGCCAGGCAGAGCTGGGCTGTTTATTAATAGCTCATTACAGCCATTGTGCAGCGCTTTCCGGGCTCGCCCCTGGGGAGCCAGGGCAATTAAGATCCAGAACAAGGCCTAGATAGAGGCTCTTCTCCTCATTTAATTTATTTTTAAAAATAACAAGCTTTCTGCATGCAGGGCTGGAGACAGAGCCAGCAAAGCCCAGGGCTGGGGGGCTGTGATGGGGGAAGCAGAGAAGAGCAATTTGGACAATTTGGACAACTGGAGAATTTTGTGAGCCCCTGGAGCCTTCCCTGCCTCATTCCCAACATCCCCAACAAGATTTATGACCACTGAGATCCTTTTGTCCCAGCCACCAGCAGCACAGAGGAGCTGCTGCTCTCCAGCCACCCTGGCTTGGGGTTACCCAGAGCAGCTGTGGCTGCCCCTGGACCCCTGGGAGTGTCCAAGGCCAGGCTGGATGGGGCTTGGGGCAACCTGGGATGGTGGAAGGTGTCCCTGCCCATAGAAAGGGGTGGAATGAGATGGTCTCTAAGGTCCCTTCCATCCCAAACCATTCTGGGATTGCACAGATGGGATTTTGCTCCCTCTCCACCCTTCAAACAGCTCCTGCTTTTCCAGCACAAGCTTGTCTCTGCCAGCTCCTCCAAGAGCAACTGCTCCTCAGCTGCCATTACTTCTCCCTTTTTGTGAATAAATACCAAAAACAATCAGCCCAGGTTGCCATTTCCAGGCTCCCCTGCTCAGACATCACATGAGCACAAACACTTCGGTCAGAGCAAGGTTTTGTTTTATCCTTCCCTTGACGTGCAGGATGTAAAATGCTCCTGCTGAGCCCTTCTCCTCCCACCATCCCATCACTGCTGCTCCAGGCCAGGCAGGGGCCAGAGGCAACCAGGGGATGCTGCTGCATCTTTCCAGGCACGCAGGGAACCCCAGGAGGGGATGGAGACCCCAAAGCAGGGAGGGAGCAAATGGAGCAGAAAGTGATGGTGGGACCCTCACCCTGAAAACATCAACAGGGGGGATAACCCCAGTGCTCTGTCACATGGGTATCAGGGAGGTGCCAGTGTCTTGTGCCAGTGTGTCCCAAACTTGGCATGAGACAGGAGAGGGCTCCTACAAACATCAGCAGCAGCCAAGTGCTGTTGGGAACCCCCCCAAGTGCTGCCTGCTCGCCTCTGCCCAGCCCTGCCTGGCAGCCAAGTGTCCCCACGCCATCCTCGCTCCCTGGCTGCTGTCCCCAGCCTGTCACCGTGCCAGGGAAGGCAATGCCAGCCATGCTGGGCTGTGCCAGCCTCCTCACAGACACCATCACCCTGCTCGGGGCTGGGGCTGGGGTCGGATGGAGCGATCCCTGGGCTGATTCCCAGCTCACTGACAGCTGGCCAGGATTGCTGCTGGACTCTCCACCAGGACAAGCTCCGTGTGCTCCTGTCCTGGCGTGTGACCTGGATGAGATCTCGATTCCCAGGAACAGGAATCCATGGATCAAGCAGGCTCCATGGACTTGAACCTCCCCGAGCTGCTGGCCGGGGCTCGGAGCAGGATGGGACACTCTGGATGCTGATGCCAACAATTCCCTGGCTCCAAGCTCTGCCCATGGGGAAGGGAGAACTGCAGCCAGAGCTGCCCCACGACAGAGCTCCTCCAGACCTGAAGAGGAGCCCAGGCCTCAGTCCTGTGCCAAAGCCTGTCCAGACGTCTGCTCCTTCTTCCCTGTTGGAAAGCCCTGAGCCCTCAGTTACATCTTCCAAAAACACCCTTCCCCCATATGATTTTAGGCTGAAAAGGCAAAAAATGAGGGTCCCATGGAAGCTCCATGCTCAGCTTCATTGGTGACACCACCCACACTGATCATGGCACCACAGGGCTGTCTTGGCACTGTGCAGAGCTGGCAGAGCACAGTTTGATGCCCAAATGTGAAGTCAGGGAATCCAACTGTGTTTTTCCAGCTGTTGCTGCAGCTCAGAGCAGGGCACAGTTCCCAGGGGTGCTGAAATGAGGACCAAAGGTGACCTGTGCCACCCTCCAAAAGCAAACGTGTGGCTCCTGCAGCTTTATTTTATCTCTTGCCTTGGTCTGCAAAGTCAGAGGGTTTGGAGCCACACTGAGCTTGGAAAAACCCCAGAAAAGACAGGGGGGCATGGGGAGGATAGAGGTGATGGGGAGGAGCTTCAGGAACGTCCCTCAGACCTTTCCTGGCTCCTGGGGTGACACCAGCATGTTCCTCCCTCTGCACAGGGCAGCAGAAAGATCCTGGTTTATGCTGGGGCGTGGAGGGGATTAAGTCAGAGCTGAGACAGAAATAAAGAGGCAGAAACTGGAGGGTCAAAAGAGGCCAGGGATGTGCCCAAGCCTCAGCTCTGGTGATCAGGCAATTAGCAAGCCAAGCATGAGAATAAATAATCCAGCTGAAACAGGGAGAGCAGGACAGAGCTGGGGGAAAGAAGGAAAGAAATCAATCACCGGACCTAATGGAGAATTATCCAGGAGAGAGTTATTCCTAATCCCATCAGGGCCTGGCTGGGAAACAAATTTTTCTGGCTCTGCCGCTCTCAGCACGTTTTTCTGGGTCAGGGCTGGGCTGGGCAGGCAGGAGGGCAGGGCTGGAGGAGAAAAGGGAGAACCAATGGCTGGGTGGGCACTGAGGGCACCCTGTAGGGTCCTACAGAGAATCTTCCCACCCCACAGGACCTGGCCAGCAGCTTTAGGGTCCTCAAGCCACCAGGTGGCCAAGTGACCATCCTCAACAGCTCTGGCAGAGCCCAGCTGGGCTGTGACCATGGTGGCCGTGCTCCTGATGTCACCCTCGTGTCCCTCTCAAGGCTGCTCAAGCAGAAGCAGATTTTCCTGGCAAGGCATGGGAATGGGGACGGGAGCGTGAAGGAGCTGTCTGTGCAGGAGCCAAGGCTGGGTCACCACAGAACATCCCCGAGCCTGACTTCAGGGACGGCTGGAGAACATGCAAAGCTCCCACAGAAGGGAGTTATTTTGGTGAGTGGCAGCTGCTGCCTCTCACGCGGCTCCTGCTCAGCAGCCCCAGGTCTCGGGGCGGCCGAGCCGGCGCTGGAGCAGCTCCCAGGGAGGCAGGATCTGCCCTTCCTTCCCAGCAAACCTGGTGTCTCCACAGAGCCGTCTTCCCAGCCCAGGATCCCATCCCGAGTCCTCGGCAGCCGTGGCCACAGGACTCTCCCCTCCCCTCCCACGTGGAAACTCCCAGCCCTCGCAAACGCCGCGAAACCCCAGAACCGAGGATTCCCTGATGAGCCACGGCGCCAAGGAGACAACCCAGAAGAAGCCACTGCTTATTTTTAGAGACAACCTTATGATTCCTGAGCACGTGGCACAGGCAACACTGCACAGGCAGCCCCAGATTGGCCACAATCTGCTTTTCTTCTTGACAGACATCATGTCTGAATCTCTATCTCCACAAGATGCTCCCAGGAGAGGAGACATTTAGAGACGACCACAACGTACAACATTTCTGAAAGGTCACTGCCTGCACCAGGCAACGAGGAGCAGAAGCCACTCATCAGCAACAGGGGCTTTGGGGAGGTGTTTAATATTCCATGAGCATCTCTATTTCTCTACCAAAGTGGAGAACTCTTCTAAAAGCAGGAGAGGGGGCAGGGCAGGTGGGTGCTGGGCTCTTGTTTCCACCCAAGGTGGGTTGACTGAACCACCAGTCAGAGCTGAATCTCGACTGCTGCTGGGAGATGGTGGCTGAGAGTGAACCTGACCTGGATCCCAACAGCCTCAGAACCTGCTGGACCACACGAGAGCAGAGGCTGAGTTTGGCTCCTCCTCTTCAGCTGCATCCCAGACACCTCATTGCCACTGAGCTGCTCCCCCAGTGCCACCAGGAGCCCTGGAGCTGAACCTCACACGGTGGCTGTGGTCCCTGGATGGACAGCAGCTGCTCTTTCTTTGAGGGTCCAAGTGAGAACTTTTAATTTGCAGAAGCCCATTAACATCAGGGGCAGGATGAGGAGGGGCTGGGAGGCAAATGCAGGCTGACAGCCCACAGCCCACGCTGCTGGCACTTCCTGATGTTCCAGTCTGCCACCAGGCCCAGGTGCTGGCCACAGCCCCCATGGTGTCCTTGTCCCTGAGCACTGACCCAGCCAGGAGGGGTCCCAGCAGCAAGATGACAGCTCAGGTCTAGGAGACTCCCAGTGCAAATCCAGCTGAGTCCTGTTCCACCAAAGCTGGGCTTTGCCAAGGTCCCCATCCAAGCACAAAGTTGCCCATCCAAACCAACCTGTGGCCAAGGCTTGCACGGTCTCAGGTTTCTCCTCAGCCTGGGAGTGGGGACAAGGAACCTAAACCCCTGGCAACATGTCCAGCATGTGGCAGGGTCCACATGACACCTGCTGCTGCTGGATGTACAAAACACGAGCCCACAAGAGCCCCAGTGGCACAGCTGTGAGAGGCAGGCAGGGAAAAGCAGGCAGGGAAAAGCAGGGCCACGCTCCTGCCCCCACAGAGACACAAATACAGAGCATTAAATCACAGAGGGGAATTTGCTCCTTCCTCTGCAGCTGCCTCCCTCTCCTGCCTCCCTCCTGAGCTCATCCCTCACCCTCTGCACCAAAACACAGCCTGGAGCCCAGGAGCAAACCCAGAGCGTGGCTGATGCCACATGGGAGGGCACAGAGGGAAAGTGCCAGAGCCTGGCCCGGCAGGACATCCCCGGGCACAGCACTGGGGACACCTCTGGGGGTGTCCCCTCCTGCTGGGGGGGCCACATCACCCTCAGGGGCTCTGAGCAGCAGGGAGGACGTGAGACCTCATCACAGGAGGGGACCCTGTGCCTTCGCTGCTCCAAGCCAGCAGCCGGGTAACAAACGAGGTGGCGGGGCAGGATGATGAATAAGGGGAACAGGAAAGCAGAGGCTGTAATTAGGCACCTTTCAGAGCGCTGATGGATGACGCTGCTCGGGGGCGTGCGGAGCGCTGGGGATGCTGACGTGCAGCCACCCCCAGTGCCAGCACTGGTCCCAGTCTGGCCAGCAGTGCCCAGAGAGCCCTGCCCTGCTGCTGCACGGTGATTTCCCGGTGATTTCCCGGTGATTTCCCGGTGATTTCAGTGCCAGCTGCCTCCCACGGGCTTTGCCCCAGCACACGACCTCATTTGTCCGGCCGGCCCAGCCGTGCCAGCCCTCATTAGATCAGCTCGTTCATTAAGCTCAGCACTTCAGTAACGCTGGCCTGAGCCCCTCGGGGGGCTGGCACATAAATCACACCCTGAGCGCTGTCACTGGCTGCCAGTGCTGGACCTTTGAGGGCAAAATCTCCTCCTAATCCCTCACCTGAACTGTGATGGCACCGGTCAGGGCAGTCCCAGCCACCCCTCTGAGCTCTTGGATGAAACAATGGCTCTCTGCAGCCTGGACCTCAGGAAGGACCCTGCTCCCGAGGGCTCAGCCCCATGGGAGCCTTCATCCCGGGCAGGGGGTGCCCAGCAAGCCCAGCTTCCCTCTGGAGAGGGAGCCCGGAGTCCTGGCAGCTGCCAGCCCATCTCTGCTCCTTGGCAGGGTGATCCATCATTCCAGAGGCTTTAATTCGACTGGAGTGCTGGACATGTGCGCAGAGGAGCAGACTGACAGGCCAGACTGATGGACAGCTGCCTGCTCCGAGGCCAGCAGGGACAGGCAGCTGTGGCTGGAAAACAGCCCGGTCCCAGCAGGACTGCTCATCTCGGAGCTCTGCGGGGGCAGCGGGGAAAGGGGGCAGAGGTGGAGCCCCCAATCTGCTGGAAACCCTGCTCGGAGTGGGAATTCCAGCCAGGAGCACGGAGTGACAGCTTTCCCTCCCCCTCCCAGCTCAGCTCAGCATCAGTCCCGGGCTGAGAGCATTTTCTAAGACCTTTCTACAGCTGCTGCTGCACTGGAGATTTTAGTGCCATCCCAATTATGATCATGGGAGCAGCGACAGCAAAATGCCATTACAGGGGTGAAATGGCTCCTGACATCCCAATCCATCCCTGTGGCGCCAGGCGGGAGCAACCCCTGAAATAATCCCGGAGAGGGGAGGGGGCCGGGGGGATTCACCCCAGATCCCTCCTGGCCTCGCTGCCCAGACTGCAGAGGGGAACAGCAGAGCCTGGGGGGTTCCAGCTGTGCCACCCCCAAAACTCCCCCGGGCTGGAGGATGTGACAGCGGTGACATTTGGAGCGAGGCTCGCTGGCGTCAGTCCCCAGATCCACGGCTGCGGGGCATCAGCTGGGGCTGGCACACAGGAGAGCAGCTCCTTTCTCATGTGCAGCCACAAGAGGATCCCAAAAGTCAGAAATCTCCGTGGTGGAAGGGAAAGGGGACGGCGGGGCCGTGTGGCTTCACTCCCTGTCTGGCAGGGACAGCAGAGCAGGGGCAAAGCCTCCAGAGCTCCTCTCCCAGCTGATGAGCTCCCAAATCCCAGGAAATCCATCCTGCCCCTCAAACTGATGCTGCACATGGATCCTGGCATGGGGCCCAGCAGTGTCCAAGGCTGGGGTTCTTGTGGGGTCAAAGGCACCTGAGCTCAGCACCCAGAGCTTCACACCACAGCTCTGCCCGAGCTGCTTCTTGCTCATCCTGGGGTGGTGCCACAGGCTGGAGATGTCCCAGCTGTGCCATGGGACAAATGCCTGGCCGAGGGCTCCTGCTGCACAAGGAGGGGGGGACAAGGAAGGGGCTAATGCCACCAAGCAGGGGTGGCCACGAGGTAAAAATGAGCTGGATTTTGAGAGTCCCAGTGCACAACCCCCAGTCCCACTGGAGCCCAGGGAGTTCTCACCGTTTTGCAGGTCCAGGGCTGCTCCAACATTGGGATCTGCTCAGGCATTGGAGCCTGGGAATGTTCAAATGGTGAACTGTCCAGCACAGCCAGCCTCGGCTCCTCTGCACAGAAAGCACAAGGACACCACTGTCAGTCACTTTCCCTCAGTGCCTGCCACAGAAATCCCAAAGAAACTCCTCCAAAGTCCAGGAATGAGGCACCCAGGCACTTCCCAGAGAGGGGGGAGCATCCTCAGTGCTGCTCCAGCTGGATGTGTGACCTGGCCATTGCAGCTTGCCTGGTTCTATATAGATAAATCTACAGATAAATATAAAATTATATCACACTTTTGTGGGTAGCTCTGGGTGGAGCGGGGAAGACGTTTGGGAATCGTGTGCAGGGACTGCAGGAGGGGAATGAACCCACCCAGGGGGCCTCGAGTCAGGGCAGATTCCATCCAAACGTGGAAGAAAAGTGCCACTGGCCAGACCCCCAGCCCCATGTCCACCCCCTGGGCATTTTGGGGTAACTTGGGGTGTCGGGAGATGCTCCCAGCACTGATGCAGCAGATGCTGAACAAAGGATTTGCTGTGGTTTTACTGAATTGCTTTGAACTCTCTGGATCAAGTTTAATTTGCCCGTTGCAAAGAAAGGGAATTTAAATAGCTCCTTTTGTGCGGAAATCCTGGTTAACAGCCCTCAGATGACCCGACTCGGGTCCTGCTCGGTGGCACCCACGCAGAGATGCTGCTGCTGCAGCTCTGCAGTTGCTCTGTGCCTGCTCCAGTCCCCAGCAGATTTGGAAGGTGTGGTTTGGGTGGGCAGCAGCAGCAGCCAGGGGGGTTAATTCCTGCTGGGAGAGGCTTGGGGAGCCTTAGGCAAAGGAGCTTTCCGGGATTTGCTGGGAACGGCAGAGGAAGGAGAGCCGGCTCTGCAGCAGCAGGGATCACATCCCTGGCACATCCCGGAGCCAGGAATCCCGGGAGGATGGAGCTCCCCATCCCCCTGTGTCCCAGTGGTGTCCACATGCTGCTTGTGGATGGGTAAATCCTCACTTCTGGGGATCCTGGAGAACTGACAGTGCCCAGCACTCTGGAAAAGCTAAAATTCCTCCAGGAAAGCAGCAGTGCCCCAAAGCCAAAGTCAGAGGATTCCCTTCAAACCTGAAGGGACAACACTGAGGGTTCCACACTCCTGGTCACCCCCAGGGCCTGGGGACTGTGAGCCTGCAGGACTTCAACCAGTGCCTGGCAATCCTTGTTCATTCCCTGCTCCAGAACACCCTCCCCGTGTCTGCTCTGTCTGAGGGAGCCAGGCCCTGGAACGGCAGGAACCGCATTCCCAGCTCCCAGAAGGTCCCAGTGTCAGTGGGATACACTGAGCCCTTCACCCCATCCAGTCCCTGGGTGGCAGGGATGCAAATCCCAGGTGGGATGCACAGAACTCAGTCAGGGATGCTCCCCGGTAAAGGAACAGCACTAAACCCCCCCTGGCAGCAGAAATCCCCTGCCCTGGGCACTCCTGCTGGAGCCAGGGGAGGCACCAGCCCCTCCAGGAGGTAAGGCCTGGACAACAGCGACAGCTCAGGGCTGGCAGCAGGATGGAAAAGCTCAGGATCACAGCAGGATCCCATCCCCAGGAACGTGCCCTGCAGCACCGGGGGCTGGAGCACACACGTGTGGGAGTAGCTCTGACCCAGCACCTGAAATAACACCAAGAACGACCCAGACCAAGCCCTGAGATGCAGAAACCACCCAGGAACACCTGAGGGGGGAGCTTGTGGCACCTCCAGCAACTACAGCTGGTGCAATTCCAGGGGGAGTTTGCCTCCAGGGGATGCAGTGTGTGTGCTTTGAGGGACTGGGGCTCCAGGGGTTGATGCACACAGATCTCTTGTGGATCCCTGGGGCTGCTCCAGTCCTGGGAGATGGGATAACTGGGAGGGAAGTGTGGGACTCACACACTGAAATATTCCAGCAGGGATGGAGGAGGCTCCGTGGGCGATGCTCAGAGCCAGCCCCATCCAAGGGTTAATCCCAACCACAACAGCTCAGCTGCTGCTCCCCATGGCCAGGCTCCAGCTCCGGGGATGGAGAAGGTAAAATTTCAATCCAATTCCAGCAGGCTGGACACAGCCACGTATTTACTGCAGAGCTGCTGAGAGTGAGCTGCAGTCAGCCCAAACGTGCTGAGCTCCTGGCACTGAGCAGCTGCTCCCACCCTGCCTGAGCATCGGGAACTTGGAATTAAAACTCACTTAGAGACCACCTGGGCTTGGCTTGTCAGGTGAGTCCCTCACTCCCAGCCCTGGGAACGAGCAGGGGCTCAGCTGATGGTCTTGGCATTTGTTTTTGGCAGCTCCTGGGTCACGTAGCAGCCTCTGTCTCAGGTTACCTCCGGGGGTTTTGTCTGCAAATACATTTTAATCCTTGTGAAACGGGACCCACCAGCACGTGGGTGAAGTGGCCTAAAGCCTCCTTCAGCCCCACGTGGTGACACCAGCACAGCTCCCTGGCCCTCCTGTTTGTGCCACCAGGGCCATTGTCACCTTCTGCTCCTGTGCTTTGTTTTACTCAAAACTTGGATTTGAACTCTTTTCTGGGCTACTCAGTGGAGGAGCCAGGAGAGGATTCTCACCCCAGGTACCACATGGGACCGGCTTCTCCATCAAGGAGCTTCCAGCTCTGCACACGGGATCCCCTTGAAGGAAGAAATTCAGCAGCAAATCCCAAAGCCAAACAGGATGCAGATGTCCTGGAAATCAGCAGAGACCTCCAGAGAAGCAGACCAGGGTGCCCAAGTTGAGCTCTTCTAAGGCAGGAGCATCCCTTGAGATGTGCACAGGAACTCTTCCAAGCATGGCAGCAAATCTGGCTCATCTCAGACCATTGCAGAAAGGGACCTGGGGGTCCTGGTTGGTGGCGAGTTGGATCTGAGTCACCAGTGAGTCCTGGCAGCCCAAAGGGCCACCAGGCCCAGGGAGGGATTGTCCCGCTCTGCTCTGCACTGGGGCAGCCTCACCTCCAGTGCTGGGGACACTTGGGGCACCACAAGATCAGGAGGATCCAAAGCTGTTGGAGAGTGTCCAGAGGAGGGACACGGAGCTGGGGAAGGCTCTGAGGAGCAGCTGAGGGCACTTGGCTCGTTCAGCTGGAGCAGAGGAGACTGAGGGGAGGCTCCTCGGGGGCTGCAGCTCCTCCTGAGGGGAGGCGGAGGGGCAGGGGCTGAGCTCTGCTCTGGGACAGGGACAGGAGCCCAGGAAGGGCTGGAGCTGTGCCAGGGCTTGGGATGGATCTCAGGGCAAGGTTCTTCCCCCCGAGGCTGCTGGCACTGCCCAGGCTCCCCAGGGAATGGGCCCGGCCCCAAGGCTGCCAGAGCTCCAGGAGCGTTTGGACAGCGCTCTCAGGGATGCTCAGGGTGGGCTTGTTGGGGGGTCTGGGCAGGGCCAGGGGCTGCACTGATCATCCCTGAGGGATCCAGCTCAGGAGATTCTGGGATTCTTTCATTCCATGGATCCCAGGACACCTGATAGTGCCCAAGATCTGGTCAGTGTCGCACTGCCCCCGTGTTCAAGAGCATTAAGCCAGAGACTTTTGCTCATTAGTGTAATTAATGTCAGATTTCCCAGCCAGCTGAGCTTCCAGCTGACCTTTATTTATTGAGATATGAACAACAAAAATGACACATTATCGCAGGGAGGTGTCACAAGCTGCTCATTTGAAATCCTGTCTCAGTGTCAGGCCTTCAAAGAGTTTCTTTCTGCAAAAGTAAATGGGAAAATTTGGAAAACGAAGGAAGGAGGAAAAATTCAGCTCCACAGCAGCACAGCAGGGATACAGCATATCCCAGCTTTGGGGACACAGCCAGAGATTACCCCAGGGAGAGAAATGGAGGGAGAAATGAGGCAAAGCTGTTAAAAATGAAACAGGAAAAAAGATCTTAGGAGTCTTGGGAAAGTCACTGAGGTGGAGACAGCTGAGCCAGGACTGAGGCAGCAGGGACAGGTCCCCAGGCCATGGAGTGACCCCTGTACAGGGCCAGGGCCAGCAATAGTCTGAGCCAGAGAGAACCTCGGGGCATGGAAAAAAACCCCAAAACCCAGCAGCATTGTCTGGTGCTGGATGAGTCTGACCCAACAGATCACAGCCACATTTGTCCCTGCCACAGCAACAACCTGGACCGGGATTTCCAGAGGTTTCCAGATGTTGGTGCAGGCTGAGCAAGGCAGGGGAAAGCAGTGGTGCCAAACCCCATCGGGACATTCCCATGGGAACTGCTGTGCCCCAAGGCTGGTGCCTGATGGAAAAGTGACCCTGAAGGGAAGAAGAAAAACCACTCCCTGAACTGTCGAGGGTCCAACCTCCAGAGTAACTCCTGGAATGACTGCCAGAGCACTGGGCATGGCTGGGAGAGGTGCTGGCATCACCCACTGCTCTTCCCTGGGAGCAGCCCAAGGCTCCTACTCCTCATCAGGCCCAGGAATAAGGAATAATGAAGGCAGGATTATTTCCCCCCCACTCCATTAGTCACACTTGGTTAATATTCCTGCTTATGGAAAAAGGTCACAGTTTCTCTCTCATTTATGTCACTCCACCTTCCATTTGCAGTTGCAGGGTTCTGCTCCTTTTCCATCCCTAATTAGTGTTCAATTACAGGGGCCCTGCCCAGCCCACCACCAGGCACAGGTCCTGGCCACGCTGCCTCTCCCGGGTCTCCCTGTGGAAAACTGACCCAGGAACAGCCCTTTGTTCCTCTGGCAGCACAGAGGGAACCAGATGGACTTCCCTTCAGATGAGATTTAAATGGAAAAACACAAAATAGCTCCTTGTGCCAATATTGAAGGGTTGGTGTCCAGCTGTCCTGAGCACGGGGAAGGTCAGCCCGGGTGACCCTCTAGAAAAAGAGGCCTGAAGCACCAAGCACCCTCATGGTTTGCTCCTCTGGCTGCACCACTCAGAAGGGGTTGAAAATGATTCTTTCCAGTCTTCCTGAATGAAAACAAATCCGCTCCTCTAAGGTGAGGTGTTCCAGCACCGAGTGTGGCTGAGGGAGTTTGGAGCCCCTTTAGCTCCCCTGCTCTGCCCTGCAGACCTCTGCTGCTGCTGCCCTGCGAGCAGCACTG